GTATACAGGTTGAGGTAGATGAGATGAATCATTTGAGGGTATTTGTTTCTCTCCGACCACCGTGAGCCGTCACGAAACAGCACCGGCGAACAGCGACCCCTCTCTTCCCTGATGAGGGAGTTGAGAGAATTTTGAGAATTCTCTCTCCTCCCTCTGCTATTAAACCGAACAAAATGAGGAGAATGAAAGGGAAATCCTTGGTTTCGAGCTTATATATAACCCACGAAACGATGTAGTTTCGATAGGGACTAGTTTGTATTTTAGCACATGGGCTAATCACGTAGGGAGGGTTCCATATTTGTAACACTTACGTTTTGGTCACTTAATGGAAGTTTCATCTTTACATTCCAGTTTCTTCCTTTATTTTATGTTTTATTTCGATTCCTTCATATTGGTTATTATATTATTTCATATTTAGACTCTTTCCCGTTGATTTTATATAATATTTTATTATAGCCCTTCATATTTAATGATGTATAAAATTGTGTATTTTATACTTTGAATCATATGTTTGGCCCCATATTTATTTCAATCCCCATTTTCAGTGTTTTAACGCGTGGGGTTTATTGTTCATTAGGTCCTCGTTGTTCTGTTTCTGTTAATTTTATTTCCTAAAAATATTTTATGAAATGTTTGTGTTTCATTTTCATTGGCATTGTATATGTAGTTATATTGGTACATATGTATGTTAATATGTATATTTGTTTGAAACGCATGATGTGATTTAAAGATTTATGGGATGATTGTATTTATTGTATAAGTTTTGTTTATTTCAAATAATGTATATATGTAGCATGTATATATATCATGTTAATTTTTAACCTTACATATTCATGTATATATATGTTAGTTATTATAAAGTGCTTATTTTATTAACTAAATTTTTATTCAAATATGTTGCTCGAATATTTTTCAAGAACATTGATGCGTAGAACGGGCGTGGAAAACACTACTTGATCGAAGTAGTGTAATTTGATATGATGTTCTAACGAAATGTGAACTCTAAATAAATCGAATTTATTTATTTTAATGATAATCAATTCGTTTTTATTCAAATGATGCAATGTGTGTTGTTTTAAATATCAACTTATTTTATTTTATGCAAATGTCAATATTCATTTTATATTCGATTTGCGTTTTTATATATGAGGAGGGAATGTCCTTTTACAAATAGGAAATAGGCGAGATAGCCTTCCCGTCGGAGGATGAGCAAATCTCGATATTTCTTTACGAATTAAATGATTTTTCTTAATAATTAATTCGAAGCAAATTAATTAAACTTTAATAAATGGATCATATTCTAACTTTATTTTTTATTTATACTTTCCTCCATTTACGACAAAGTGTAAGCGATTAAGTACCAATTTTGGGCGCTGTGAGGGTGTTTATCCTTCCCCACGTGTAACCGACTCCCGGACTCGTTACGTCGAGTTTTTTGGTAAACGCATACCAACTTTTTTCTTAAAAACGATTTTTCCTTAAAATTGTTTTAAATGAAGTTTTTAGGTATTCGGTCTACCTAATCTAAAGGTCGATGGTGACTCTTATTCAATTTAATTTAAAATTAATTTTAAATCAGCAATTTTTCAAATAAAAAGTCATAATTGTTTTTTTAAGCTAAATTGTTTTTTTTAAATGGTTATGACAACTTAGCGACTCTGCTGGGGACTTTAGAGAGTCAGGCTGTTGGTCGTTTATTTATTGTCGTTATGGTGGAAATTATAAGTTTGAGTCTCTAGTTAAGCTATGATCTATTTATTGAAATTTTTCTATATTCTTTATTTTTATATACTAACATTTTAATTGTTTTTGTTTTTTCAGCTCTATCAAAGTTCTTATTGAGAATTTGTTTTTGGTTATTTTCTGTTTTTTTTAGTCAAAGGTTTGTATGTTTCTCCTCACACACATCACGAACATTTGCATAACATAAACTCTAGACCCGAGCTTCGTTCCAAGTAAGCGGGGTGAACGCTTTACTCTCGTAAGAATTTATTCTTCATATGAGTTTTAGCAAGTAACCTCTGGGATACATGTGCCTTATATCTTCGTAGGGATTTATTCCTCGTATGGGTATAAGGAAGTGAATCCCCTCGAATTAAACTCGGTCCATTTACGCCTGTAATGGGTTAGGATTCAGGACTTGGCAGCCTAAGGGGGCATCGACATCAAGGACAATTCGAGTACCTTTTCCTCATAGAGCAGAAACAATGCATATAGTTAACCATAGAACGGTCACCCTAGGTATAGTCATATCGAACCTCTGTCCGTCAGTAGGTACCCAAAATAAGTGTACACAAAGGAGGAGTGTTTCTAAACCTTGACCTTTTGCTTTAAATTTTGTTGAATAAAAGCATGCGAACTAGATACCATGCGGTTAGGATCATTTTCTTGAAATAAAATATTTGGGTAGAAAGCATGTCCGGGTAGGATTGTTATCTAATGAAAACATGATTGGGTAGATATCATGATTGGGTAGGTGTTGTATTTATCTTTAAATAACATCTTTTAGTTTTATCGATTATCTTGTCCGCACTAACTTATTTCTTTTCTTTTCTTTGTGTCATTTTTCATCCTTTTTGCATTGCATTTCGTCAACATAACATAATGCAAAAATTTTGATCCGCAAGGGGATATTTAAGAGAAAATTTTCATAGGGAGAGGTAAAAGTTTTCAATCAATGAGTCACGTATACAGACATGCACTGAGGGATAAAAAAGTTCAGAGACTACAAGAAAGAAACTTGCTCAAGGATCATGCAACATTTGAGATTGGAAAGATGATTTATTGATCTGATGAGTAATCCAACAGTAGAGTCTTATTTACGATCATTTCATCACTTCTCCTGCACTCTTGGACCTTACTTAAGCCCAATACCTATATAACTTGGTCTAATTATCTTGGGAGGTTTAATTGGCTTGACTTAAAGGTCTCGGGTTGACCCAAACTACTAACCCGGATTTCGAGGTATTACAGATATTACCACTATAATTCTCCTTGCTTTAAAACTCAAACCATACCCTTGGTATCGATACTGCCCTTACAGTATCGATACCCTCTTTGTAGTATCGATACCCTACCGAAGGTATCGATGCCCTTACAGTTATTTCATCCATTTCAACCTAACTTTAAACACCTTCTTTAGTACTTATTCTAGTGTTTTACACCTATTCGATCCTATTTATGGTTATATTATGGGTCTAGGGCCTCCCGGACAACGTTTTTGGCTAATTTGTACATTTTAGGTAGGGGTTTCAAAACCTCTGAGGGGGTTTCAAAATCTCTCTGGCAAAATGTCATTTTGGACAAGAGGTTTCGAAACCAACACAGGGGTTTTAAAACCTATACTAGAAAGCTCACTTTTTAAATTGAGAAAACTCTCCAAAACACTCTAAAAACCTTTCCAAAGTCCCTAAACTTCTATCTTGAGGTTTCCCATTTATTATTACGTCTTATGTGATATTAAGGGGCATTAATAAGGCTCTTGAACATGTTATAATACCATTACAAAAAATCTACCATGAAACTATACTCAACAAGCTTTAACCATAATTCTTAAGCTAAAATCTAAACTTTCTAGATAAAACTCATTTCTAATGATCTACAACTGATATGAGAAAGCTGTAAGTGTGTTATCTGGCCTTCTTGGTTGCTAAACTCCTTTTGAATCAAGTAGAAATCACCTTTCCTTTTATCTTTATCTTTGGAACTCTCTTTCACCCCTTTAAATAATCAAAGGTAATTATAGGAATTATTAGCTTATTTAAGGCTTGAAACTAAGTTTAAAACACTCTATACTACTTAATATTACTCAAAGAAGCTTAAATCTCTTGGTTTCTTTCAAACTCCCAAAAACCTATTTTTGAAAACCAACACCAAAACTAAAGATTAAGGGCTTGAAATGAAGCTTAAGGGATGAGGAATATGATTCTTACCTTGGTTTCTTCTATTTTGGCTTGGGATTTGAAAAGCTTCTAACTTTTTCTTTGCTCTTGGGGAGGACGAAGAAGAGAGAAAAGAAGAGGAAGAATGAAGATATTTTAGGTGGGTTGATTTCACGTGGAAGACTCTGGATATAAAGGGGTTTTTATTCTTTAAAACAAGCTATTGTTAAATAGCTATTTTGGCCCCTTACCTTTTGAACCCAACATAAAACCGCCACCTAGCTTTAACTCTTAGGCCAACCTAAGCTTAATACCCTTTGTATTTGGTCCAAACATGTCTAGAAGGTCTAATGGGCTCAATTTATAGGTCTCGGGTTGATTCGAACTACTATCTCAGGATTCGGGGTTTTACATCTTCACTCTCCGTTTATCAAAAAAAAAGTGATATAGCAAAGATTAAAATACAAAATTAATTTCATTGATTAAACATCATGAAGCTATAAAGCTCTTTAATTTATATATTCCTTTTTGCCTTAGTTCTTTTCAAAAGCAATGTTAAATGAACCTTATAGTAAATGATTAAAAATTTTGATTAGTTATATATTGTCATTATTTTGTTTCATGATGGTACTATCATTTATTAATTTAATTTCTATAAAGGCTCATATACAAAATAAACTCTTTAATTTTATTTAACAGGGGTGATTGAACGTTCATTGTTAAATAATTGAGAGTATTTAGAACATATATTACTTCATAGTCTCCTTAACTTAATCAAAATAAATAAATAACCCCCAATTGAATAATGGATTAAACAAATCATTATTTAAAAAGTAACAATCAAATAAAGTTTTAATATTACCTTAAACATTGAAAACATCCCTTCATAATTTTTTTTAAAAAAGAACTCATAAGATACATGATTTTTTAAATAAAGAGTTACTCGGTCTTTTTATATAAGAAGTCATTAAATTCATATATCAAATTATCGACTCACTTGACTTTTTTTAATACAATTGAAGGAATTTATTTTACATATAAGCCTTGTATAAACTAACTATGCTTTGGAGCTACAATTGATTAAATTTAAAATAAAGAGAGAGGGGAAATGGAGAAGCTAAAGCCCATTAATCCATCCCCAATCATTTGGGAGATTAATTTATAAACTCTAAAATTGCATAATATGCTACCAACACCGGTAAGGAAACGATGGTTCCAAAGATAACTCTGCAAAACAAAAACAAAAATCAAAATAATGTCCGATTAAAATATATATATATAAAAAAGAGAGAATTATTTAAAATATTTAATCGGATTTGAAAAAGTAAATGAATTGTTACGCTGTACTGAGAACTTCAGCATGCATTCCATATTCCTTGGCAAAGATGAAAGAGGTAATTGATTGTGGCAATGCTGCCTGCAAATTCCAAAATTAAACATGAACTTTAAATTCATTTAAAATTATAAAATAATAGAGACCAACTGAATTTGTTCTTCTCAAGTGTCGTCGTCAATTCATAAGAACAATGAGATATTACCTGAATGATTGCGACGCGTAGGACATCACCATGCAAACCGACGACAATGGCGCCGATAGCCATTGCTGCTGGTCCCGCAATGAACCTCAATACCATCCCAAATATTGTTAAACTTGTCCCACATGCTATTATTTTCTCTTGCAGTGCCATAAATGTTCCTGCATCCCAAGTTTATACATATTTAAACATCCACGCACACGTTAATAAATATGATATAGATTTATACATTTTTCACTTTCAAAATCTTAAATTATCAAAAACACGTCCATTAGTTTAATATAATTTTGGTTTAATATAAAAAATAAGTGTCTAAACTCTACTCCAAATTGACTTTTGCTGACTAAAGAATTTTTCATTAAAAATAGATACATAATGTTTTCTCCGTTACACTTTTAGATGTCTACCGTTAAAAAAACCGTTAAATCACATGTTCACGTTTTAATCATTTATAATTTAGTATATAGTAATGATAATAAAATATGAATGCATTTAGTCTCACCCATACTAAACATGGCAGTGCCAGTTCCAGCCTTTGACATAATCAATATTGATCCATCTATAATGCTTGGCATCTCAAAATGCCACCTACAAAATAAGGAAAAGTTATCATGCTTTAAAAAATTAATGTGTTATGGTTAAAATTAATATATATATGGTGAAGATCTAATTATATCGTGTAAAATTTAAAAGTTTTACAATTTTTTGGGATCGTTAGATAAAAGAAAATCAAATGATGAGATTAATAGTAAGAAATGAGAAGATATTCACTAGAAGAAAAAAACAAAGAGTTAATCTCAGCCTTTGATTTCCCCTCATCTAACGATTCTAAAAAGATGTAAAATTAAAAGTTTTATACTGGATGTAAGTGGATCATAATCATATATATATATATATATATATATATATATAATCTCAAACATTATGAAAATATAGATAAACAAATAAATATACCTGTTTGAAACAAAAGCCCAGGCAAGGCCAATAACACAAGCATATGAGTTAGGATTCATTGCTAGTTTCATCCCCACAACTTTCATCAGATACGCGAAAGAAGGCCTGCTGCTCAACTCACCATCGCCATTTGTGTTCCCTTCTACATCCTTCTCCTGTCCTTCACCATCTGTTGCTGCAATGGACACTCCCGACCTCCGAAACTCCAGCACGAACAATAAAAACGTCAGCCAGATGATACCTTGAATAACCGATGATTGGACAACAAGATCCACCCCTGTTTGCCCATACATGGCTTTCATCAAGGGCACCCCTACGACCAAAGCGTTAGTTAAAGTCGACAAAGAGAAGCTGGTGATGGACCAGCAATAGCTCCCTTTGCTACTAAACTTGGCCCAAAAGGCTAGAACCACCACGATGACAAGCTTGGATACGGTGTCAGCTCCTATAAACCGATAATTCATTTCGAAAGGATCGATATGGCTAGTGAATTCTATGGTGAAAAGTGGAAGAGTGAAGTAGCAGACGAGGCGGTTTATAGCATCGCACTGCTCCGGGGTAAATATCCCCCACCACTTCACTGAACCATACCCTAACACCAGTGCAACATAAAGAGGCACCATAGCTACAACCACCTTGTAAACATCTTCCCACCCTATCATCTTTACTTCTTTCCAAATTATCCTAAACTCTTAAAAGATATGATCTTCCCTCTTTTGTAGTTTTAAGGGTTTTCAAGCACAATGAAACATGTTTAGCAGAGGATGGCATGGGGTGCCTATTTATATTTATTTCGTGCATGCAAAGACAAAGCATAATTTTACCTTTAGCAAATAATAATACTTCTTTGGTGGTGTGTATATGATTCTATACCATGGGTTCTTGAAGTTGTACGTGGCATGAGGATTTGATATATTTCTCGTATATGACTGAGTGCAGGGATGGACAAGGGGTGTTGAGTGCGGTCCTACCCTAGAATTTTTAAGTTCTCTTATATTTTATATTTTATTTTTTTATTTTCTATTAATCATCTAATTTTGCACTTGACAAGGGGTGTTGAGGTGCAGTCACATCCTAGAATTTTTAAATTCTCTTATATTTTATATTTTATTTTTGTATCTTTTATTGATCATCTAATTTTGTACTCCTTAAGTTTTTTAATATAACTTCGTTTGCATCTCGTGACAAATTTATGTGTTGGATCCAGACCTAGTGCATCGAAGTGTAACGTTGCTTTCAAGAAATGAGGGAATTTTTGAGCTATAATCAGCAAATTTCTTTTGGTAGAATAAGGAATGAGGTCCAGCGATTATTCCATTTACTACTGACAATAGAGTTTCTAACCTTGTGTATTGTTTATTTATTCTCATCACCAAAATATTATATGCCAAAGTGGGTCATCCAGTGGCAGGCCAAATTTCTTCTCACTTTGTATAATGCAGACATTTTAAACTAATAAAAATAAGGGTTTAAACATAGTTGAAACATTAAATTAATTGAAGTGCAGCGATTTCAGTGGTAAATGAATTGTTATTATTTCTTGAGGTCGAGGGTTTGAGCACCAGGAATGTTAGGAGTATGACCGTTTAATGTCAAATGGTTGAGAGTTATCTTTAAACAAATACTATATTGTACTTGTCCCAAATTAATAAAAAAAATAATCAAAGATAAAATGAATAAAGGCATCATCAGTTTAGCATTTTTAAAGTAGTTCGGAATGAGAAGTAAATTTTGAGTTGATCTTTACCACCAAAGCCAAAACCTTGTGCTAGCTAATCAAAGCACCAAATTGCTCTACAACAGCAAAACACTTTTGTTTTCAAGAAAAGAGTGATGTATAAGCAGTGGCGGATCATAAATATTTTTCAGGTACATAAACATATATTAATAATATAAACTTTTGCATAGGATAAATACAAAAAAAAACCTTCAAGATAATACAATCAACAAAACTAGTAATTAATTGAAAAAAAAATCAATTTCAAGGTGTATAACAAACTACATCCGCCACTTATATCTTAACAACAATCCTAATACACAGTGGATGTGGGATTCATAAAAAATCATAGCACATTGCATGAGAAGTCTGATATCTGGTTAAAGCATCATGACAAATAAGAATAAATTCTTATTTGTGTTGATTATAAGATATATGCTGCCCTAAATGGGATCCTTTGTTAACCAGAGATATCCGTCTCCTTGCCATTCTGTGAACTAAAAGAACCCCATTTATTATATTCCTCTTCATGGTTATCGATGGGACTAATGTGAAAAAGAAAATGATTTCAGCTGATGGACTTATTTCTTAAGAGATTTCATTTGAATATAAACCATTCATATTTATTGAAGTGGAATAATACTTACTGACTAGGTGACGATTTTTTTAATAGTTAGAGTGATTACAAGATAATATATGTTCATAATCTTTTTTAACTATTGACAATGCATAAACTCTACAAACGTAGCTGCTCGAACTCGGAATGAAGAATAATACTAGTTACTTATATGTTAATTTCTCTTTTGTTTTTGGACATTCAACTTTATTTGAATTTTGGGTAACTTATTTCACAAATTTTTGGACAATGCATAAATTCTTATTTGTGTTGATTATAAGATATATGCTGCCCTAAATGGGATCCTTTGTTAACCAGAGATATCCGTCTCCTTGCCATTCTGTGAACTAAAAGAACCCCATTTATTATATTCCTCTTCATGGTTATCGATGGGACTAATGTGAAAAAGAAAATGATTTCAGCTGATGGACTTATTTCTTAAGAGATTTCATTTGAATATAAACCATTCATATTTATTGAAGTGGAATAATACTTACTGACTAGGTGACGATTTTTTTAATAGTTGGAGTGATTACAAGATAATATATGTTCATAATCTTTTTTAACTATTGATAATGCATAAACTCTACAAACGTAGCTGCTCGAACTCGAAATGAAGAATAATACTAGTTACTTATATGTTAATTTCTCTTTCGTTTTTGGACATTCAACTTTATTTGAATTTTGGGTAACTTATTTTCCAAATTGAGTTCACCCACTTTAGCTTCCACTAATTATTCATTTAATCAAAAATATATTTTATAAAAGATGTAATTATTAATATAAAAACACTCTTTAAATAAATTAAATGCAGGAATAATAGAATTTTGTGATGTAGATTGAGTTTGAGTTAATGAATGAAAAAAATTTCAAATCCTAATACTTTTAATTATAAATAAAAAAAATTATTTATTAAAAATTCCAAACAGAAAATATTAAAGAAAAGTTATAACGTATTAATTAAAATATTTTAGAAATTTATTTACTTTTTGATGATAGATATTTATTTGTAAAAAAAGAAAACATTTATATAAAATTACATGTTTAGTAAAACTTAGAATACAATTCTATTGTTAATGTACTGAATTATAATTTTTTTGGAGACAGAAATGAACTGACAACCTGAAATGCTTGAGCCTCTGTTATTCCGTTTAGTCATTTTCATTAATAAACCAAATTTTTTTTCATGTCCTAAGTTTGAACCGCGCTGGCTGGGTTGAGCCCCTCCGGAAGTTGCCTTGTAGGGTCGGGTTCTTCAGTCTGACCTTGGGAGGTCCTACGTTATAAAAAAAACCAAATTGATTTGTTTATATATTTTATTTTGTTGAATTCAATTATGCTTCAGCATTATAGCATCCTCTAAAGCTTATATATACAACGGTAGATATATAGATATTTTTTTGGTGGACACACGTATGTTAATAACATAAAATATTTAAATGAAGTGTGTACAAATAAAATTTAAGGGTGGTCTCTGTCAATAAAATAAGTAATTAATCGAAAAAAAAACTCAAATTTTAGAGCGGTCACGAAAAAATTCAAGGTAAACATCATCAGTAAAATAAATAACTGACAAAAAAAATTTAGATTCTAGAGTAAGCACGTGTCCACCCTCACCAAACTGTGACTCCGACTATATATATATCCCATTTAGAAGACAATTTAATTGAAGTAGAATTTGTTCTTTTCATGTATTCTTCTTGCCTGCATGAGTAGGACAATATAATTCGTTTGAAAAGAAAAATGGTTAAATGCCTTTTTCACTCCTTCAATTGTATTTGAAAAATCAAAGGAGTCGTCATTTTTAATTATTATGGATCAAATAGGCTATTTTTTTGGTGAATAAATTATTTAATTAAAGTCATCATTAATAACACCAATTACTGTTAAATGTATGAAAATAATATCATCTTGGTCGAATTTTTTTTTTGGATAAACAATGTGTATTTCATCCAATGAAAGCAGCAAGCTGTTACAATGTACAAAAGAACATCTAGAATAGGCCCTAGTCAATGCACAACTGCCTATTTACGCTATCTAGCCTATTCATACAATGTTTATGCAACTTGATTCTAACAGCCTCCTTAATGATATTTACAATAGTATCTATCGAACACATCACACCTCTAAAACATCTGCGATTACGTTCCTCCCAAATGAAGTATACAAAACCAGTCCATGCAAGTTTAAGTATGTGCACCAGCAAGAACTTACCCTTCAGGTTGCTGACCAGCCAGTAGAGTAGATGATCCCAACTTAGCCACTGCACTCACAACCCACATAGTTGTAGTAAAACATTCCAAACCTCCCTCGAGAAATAACAATCTATGAACAGATGACACCTTGATTCCAGGTCAGTACCACATAGACCACAGCTTACATCAGTCAACACAGCAAATCGACAAAGTCTCTCCCTAGTAGGCAATCGATCAAGGATGGCCATCCACGTGATCAATAAAAACTTAGGGATGTGAGCAGGAAACCAAATGACTCTATGCCAAGCTACTTTGCTTTTCCTGTCCCGATGTTGTTCCAAATCCAGCCCCCTTTGGCCTGCAACCAACTACCTGAAGCAGGAAATAAGCCTCTAGCTTCCTCACGCAATTTGATCAACTTCCTGAGTATCCAGCTAAAGTGAGGTTTATTAACAACATTCCAATAATCATCAAGCTTAAAGCAATACGCCTTTATCCAGGCAACCCATAGGGAACCCTCGCCAACCAAGATATTTCTAACAAGCATAAAACAACAGGTTTTATTCCAGCAAGTCAAACTCTTTAGCCCCAAGCCTCCTTCAGATTTAATGGAGCATATCTGGTTCCAGCTAACCCTTGCTCCACGAGCAGGGGAATCATTACCCTTCCAAAAATATCTCATGCACAGCCTCTCTATATCCTGAATCACACCCTTAGGCAAAATAAGTTGCCTACTCCAGTAGTTGAAGATACTGAATAATACTGCTTTTATAAGTTGTAATCTCCCTCCAAAACTCAGATTCTTGCTAGACCATAGCCTCAATTTGGCTTTAATTCTCTCCAACAGAGCAGTACAATGCTTCCTTGAGAGCTTCCGAGTCACTAAAGGAACACCCAAATATCTAACAGGAAGTTGACCAGTCCTAAACCCTGTAGCTGCTTGAATCTGTTCTAATTCACCACCATTGATCCCACAGACATAAAGCTCAGTTTTCAAGGCATTTAACTTGAGACGAGAGAGGTGATAGAACTTTTCTAAAATACTAGTCACTCCCAATACTGAATCCACATAACCATGACAAAATAGCAGTAGATCATCAGCAAAACAGAGGTGTGTAAGGAAGATCATCCTACATCTTGGATGGAATCTAAAAATTCCATTCCTAGCAGCAACATCAAGCAATCTAGAGAGAACATTCATAACAATTACAAATAGGTATGGGGACAGTGGGCCTAACACCCCTAGCACCTTTAAAATACCCCACTAGGTTGCCATTCAGAGCAATTGAGTATCTAGGAGTGGTTACACAAGTCTCAATCCACCCACAGAATCTAGCAGGGAGCCCCATAGCTCTAAGAACATTCAGCAAGAAATTCCAACTAATTGAGTCAAATGCTTTCTGCAGATCAATTTTTATAGAACATCTAGGAGAGAGATTTCTCCTAGAATAGCCCTTAACAATTTCTTGGGCTAAAAGTGTATTATCAGTGATGCTTCTACCTTTGACAAAAGCAGACTGACTGGCAGAAATCATTTCAGGGAAAAATTAGGCTAGTCGAGTAACCAGAATCCTAGTAATAGTTTTATACACCACAAAACAGCAAGAAATAGGCCTGAATTCTTTAGCCATGCATGCATTCAAGGATTTTGACACTAGAACTATTGTAGTGGCATTAAAGGCTGGCAAAAGGTAAGAGGTCTGGAAGAAATACCTCACAGCATTAAGGAAGTCTGAGTGAACAATCCCCCAAGCCACCTTGAAGAACCAGGAGGTGAATCCATCAGGTCCTAGGCTCTTATCTTTGCCTTGTCTAAACAAAGCCTCCTTGACTTCATTATCAGAAACCTCTCCATCCAGTACCCTCTCAGTACCAACAGGTAAAGCATAGCTTAGAAGTTATTTTAAGCACTCAGTAGGGCAATCCTGGACCATAGGATCAGCAGCACCAATTAATTTGTTGTAGATATCCACCAATTTGGCAGCCATACCATCAAAAGTTTCAAAACATTGCCCATTTTCACTCCTAATAACCCTGATTGTGTTTCTTTTTTTTTTGGATTCAACCCTTTACAACCATTAATTATAAAAATTAGAAAAATCCTAAAAGTTACAAATTATTAAATTGTAAATTATAATGATTATAAAAAAAATTAAAATATCAATTAATTAATCTAATCCATGCGCATAAAAACAATTAGAATATGTAGTATTGAAATTTTTTCTTGTAAAACTGAATGATTTAACCTCATAATATATAATAAAAATATTCAAATTATAATTTTTTATGTAAAACTGAATAACTATAAAATATTCAAATTATTTTTTAAAGATCCTAAATTATATCCTAAAATATCTCCCAAAAACACTATTTCAAAAATTTTTATTGAATTAAACCTTCAAGCAATAATCAGTTTTTTTTTTTAAATTTAATCAAATTCATCGAGTGTTATGGTTTTAATCCGATCAACTTAATATTACTCGGTTAACTGATTTATTTTTAAAATAAAAAGTAATTAAAATGCATTATATGTTATATATTTATTATTTAAATGATTAAACAATTTTTTTATTTTATGATAATTAATATCATTGTGATGCTTTTTATATTTCAATATATTCTTCAAATAAGAAAAATAAAAAACTATTATTTTTTTATCAAAACAAACAAAGGAACAAAACACAGTTCTCAAGAAAACCCATAGCTAAGCAAAAGCACTTAAAATAAAAGCAAACTCCACTATCTACTCTAATAAACGTCAACCCAATGTGAAAACCTTGAAAGCTTCAAGTGGTGAAGAACGAAGAACAAAAGAGCAAAAAATCGAGCCTCAACCAGACGGAGAGAGAGCCCCCTACGGTGGCTCTAACCTGCGTACGTCCTCAGAAGCTTGCTCTTCCACTGACCGAGGAGCCTCCTCGACCCAGAACCGATTATCTTCATCTTCATTGTTCAGCGTCGCCAACAAGTGAGCTGTTTTGTTGCCCGACTGGTGAATATGCCGATAGGTACATGCATGCAATCCTCTTGCGTTCCCTTTAACTTCCCAAACTAGTGCACTGATCTCAGAATAATCAGTGGTCTCTGAAGATAATTTTGAAATCACAGCTTTCGAATCCCCTTCGACAATAACATCCCTGAAGCCCAGGTCTACAGCGTGGTAATCCGATTCATCTTCCTCCGGCTCGCTCCCATTATGCTACCTTCGGCGTCGCGAATTATAACCCCTGACCATGCTGTATTTCTTGCTTCTTTGAAACATGCATCGAAGTTGATCTTGACAAACGGAGGAGCTATATATCCAAATTGGGAAGGTTGGACTGACATTGAGCCCCAATGGAAGTAATAATCTCAGATACTCCCAGTTTTTTCCCTTCATGAAATTGTAAATTGCGTGCATGCCACAGTGCCCAAATACCAACAAAAATAGCTGATGAATGAGTTAAAAGCCACCCAAACCACTGTTGGAAATCTGTCGAGTTATGTTGTAATGGCCAATGAATTTCTAACCCCTCCCACGCTGCACGAGCTAATAAACAACTCTGCTAATATGAACATTCGACTCAATTACGTTCAAACAGTTCGGGCAAAAAGGATCTGCAACTAATCTTTTAATAAAAAGATTCGATGAAATTTTTATAAAATTTCCACACCTGAATCCTGATTTTTCGTTGACACGCACGCTCCCAAAAACGTTTGAAAAACCCAGCAGACAATTGTGAGATCTCATCCTCGCCCAGCAGCAATCGAACACTGTACATGTCCGACTTCTCCCCCACACCATACACGGCAATCTGCATGCCAAAATCGGGAAATGGGAATAGGCAGAATTTTATCCCTTTCCATCTCCCTATAAAAAAAATATTCATGTAATAGATTATATGCAAATATTTTACCATTCTATGTATGTATAGTCACTCGTTAAATAAATTCTCATTAAATATAGTTTTACATAAATATTTATTTTTACCATGACAGGGATATGAAATAGTATATTTAAAGTAAGTAAAAATAATAATATATATTAAAATGATTAGATCAATCGATTTAATTATAAATTTTAATAACAGACAATTAACCGATAAAATAATTTAATCTCTTCCATTGTAGCTACAACCGCAGCACATGAAACACTAAACTAGTAAACTCCACGTAAGAAGGCCAAACAATTTGCCTTTTGATGAATGTTTTTTCTTAAAATATTATATGTTGTTGGCCATTAACAGTATTTAATCGTGGTGGTTGCTTAATATTTCCATAAAAGCATTAATAAATATACTCAAGTGTTAAACAGTTTAATATCTCTTAAATAAAGTCTTGAATTCGGATCAAACTTATCCACTAAAGTTAGATATATAATACGAGTTAATTCAGTATCAGACCAAATTAATCAAAACAAAACCTTAGAAGCAACCGAAGAAAAAACCATTAATAAATCTATGTGCATGGTCAAACCCTACACATAAAGCAGCAAAATGCCAGTTTAAATAAAGAGCTTTGCTAATCCCATTTCTCAAATAATTATTACATTTGCTTAATGGCTTTTCCCAAATCAGACAAAAAGACGCACAGTTCATCATCTATTCATTTATAAATTAGATCAGTCCAGAATAAATTCCACAATGTGTGCTTTTTGAAGGTACACGTGTCACTTAATATATTCATAAATGAATTAAGTAATGAAAATTTAAAATTATCATATGTTTTATATATTTTTATGTTTTTTTATTAAAAATTATTTTTTATTTCATAAAATTTTATAAGTTTTATTTTAAAAATTTATCTTTTAACATAAAATTTTGTGTAACTCTCGAAGTTATTTATGTATTTATTTATTTATCTATCGGTAAAACCCACTCTATAACGAAACAATAGTGCTTACAAACAAGTGTTTAGTGGAAGATCGATATGGCAATTCGTGAGGACGAAAAAGAATAGTGCAGGCATTTCATCAAATTGGCCAATCTGAATATTCCAATGCTGCAAGCTTACACCACACACATGTTGGGTCATCTCAGGTGCCCTCCTACTTGGACATTATTGTGTCCCACGTCTTTAACGCTCCGCATAAAATATTTTTCTTTTAAAATAAGATAATTATTAGAGAAAATCGTCTCAGTAACCAAAAATGTCTTATAATATACGATTTTAACAAACTTTTTTTGGATTTGCCAAAATGACCAACAAAATCGCAATGAGAAATAAAAATCGCAACGCGATCCCCAGAATCGTAAATCAGTTTCCAGAATCGCAACGCGATTCTGGAAAATCGCAATGCGATAGTACAAATTCGCATTGCGATTTTGCCAGAATCGCAACGCGAACATATAAATCACAACGCGATTCTGACTATTGCAACGAGTATCCGTAAAAATCGCAACGCGTATCCGTAAATCGCAACGACAATACTTAAAATCGCAACGCGTATCCATAAATCGCAACGCGATTTTTAAAGCGCCATTAGAATCGCTACGTGTATTTTATTTTCAAATTCCAAACACGAATATTAATTATCGGAACACTGAACCGTCCACAGTATATCCCGTAATCGTAACTCATAACCTAAAACCTAAAATCACAACTCAGTCTCATCTCCATCTCTCACTCTCTACGGCGAAATCCGTCCCCATCTCCGAAGATTTCTGTCCCCATCTCCGGCGAAATCCCTCACAACCATTCACGGTCAGAAATCCCTCACAATCATTCAGAAATGGAAAATCAACCTCCGAGGGTTAGTTTTTTTAATTATTTTTATTTTGAAATTTTTGCATTATTTTATGTTTTTCATATTGAAACCGATGATAAGTTTACTGGTAATTTCAATAATAGATTAACCATTTCACTTAGATTTCTTATTAAATTCATTCGATTTCTGCCAATACTGCTAAATTGTTTAGTCTTTAACCCTGTGAAGTTAGTATTTGTCTTTGTTTTGTCTTTTGGTTGAAGTAATGCAATCCATTCAAGTTTCAATTTGCAGAAGAATCGCAACGAGAGAAATGAAAATCGCAACGCGAAAATGACTATCGCAACGAGAGAAATGAAAATCGCAACGCGAAACCAAAATCGCATTGCGATTTTCATTTCGCGTTGCGATTTTCATTTCCGCGTTGCGATAGTCATTCTCTCGTTGCGATTTTCATTTGAACCAAAAGACAAAACAGTGTTACAAATTTTAGTTTCAAGAATAAACTACTACTCTTTATGTTTATTGCTTTTGGTATATCTTCACAGTGTAGTTTTTGGTATATCTAACTTGGTATGTTTATTGTTTTTGTAGAAATTTTTTTCGGCTTCATTGACATTAAGGAATAAAGTTAGCCTATCCACTACAATTGCTTCGAAGCTTTCACCTGCACAAAGAAAATTGTTTGAGGAAACCTGCTTCGGGCCATGGCTGAGAGTACAGCATCCGGGTGGAGATGCTAATTTGACCCATTTGTGGCTTCAGACCATGACTAGCGATCTACCCGACAGTATACAACGTGGTGAGGAAGAGATATGGTTTCATTTTCCACCGGCGTATACTTGTTTTGGGCGGAAGGAGTTCTGCTTAATCACTAGTCTACGATTCGGACACGATGATGTAGGCCGGTACACTCGTTATATCGCCCGCCCATCATGGTTATCCTGGGTTTTTCCTGATGAGTCAATGGAGAAGCCGAACTTACACGTCGACGACCTGAAGAAATTGTTTAATAAGAAAGATGGTTTTACTCGGATGGACGACGTCGATGTTGTCCGAGTATGCCTTCTAGTACTTTTGTATGCCGGCTTTTTAGGCAGAGAGGCCAGACAACCTATTCGTCAGGAGCTAATATTATTGGTAGATGACCTAAATGCATGGAATCTGTTTCCATGGGGTTCGTATATATGGAAAGCTACCTGGACTAAGTTGTCGTCTGCCTTTTATGACCGTAAAAGCTTGCGTGGCGATGGGTCGAAATACACTTTGTCAGGCTTTGTTTGGGCCTTTAAGGTAAGAATTTCTATATAATGTTTCCAAAATTATAATTAATTATTTAACAATTACTAATGTTTGTTATTATATTGTTTGTAGATTTGGATATTCGAGGCTTTCCCCATCATGCAGACATATGCATTAAAAACCTCAAATGATATTCCTAGGGTTATTTCCTAAAAGAGGAAACGTCTGTTGGATTGGGAAGACTTAATACCATATGCGACAATAAATAATGTAAGTTAACACAAATACTTTCATATATAAACAAGTTATTAATAGTAGACGTTTAACTTTGTTTGAGTTTTTATATTGTTAGGAGGCCAACACTCCATTACAAAGACTGACACCCACGGAGGATGAGCTTGCCACTGATTGGTGGCAAGCTAGTCAGCGATTTTTTGATGGCACGAATGATGAGCAGTCTCTACTTCCTCCACTTCGAGAGCCATCACCTCACCCAGAGCCATCACCTGATCGACCCGACTATACACCTCTAGAACGAGAGCCATCACCTATCCCGTCACATCATCGAGCCTCTTCTCCACCATCACCTCATGATAGGCGACCGACAAAGATGCCACGACTTCTATCTCCCTGTTCTCCACCTCCACGGGATGAGTCAAGGGAGTTACGTGATGAGGTCAATGCCTTGCGTGAGGAGATCGGTACTCTACGCGATAACGATGGTGCATGGCGTGTGGAGGTGTTTACTTTACGTGGTGAGGTTGCTGCTCTACGTGAGATGGTAGTATCGTTGCAGAATGAGGTTCATACTCTACGCAACGAGGTAAGTTTATTTCCATATTTAACTTGATGATAAATTTACTCGTAATTTCACTTAGATTAACCATTTCACTTAGATTGCTTAGTAAATTTATTCGGTTGATGCCAATACTGCTAAAATGTTTATTCTTTAACACTGTGAAGTTAATATTTTTCTTTTGTTTTGTCTTTTGGTTGAAGTAAATTTATTCGGTTGCTGCCAATTCTGCTAAACTGTGTATTCTTTAACACTGTGAAATAGTATTTGTCTTTGTTTTGTCTTTTGGTTGAAAGTAAATTTGTTCGGTTGCTACCAATTCTGCTAAACTGTGTATTCTTTAATACTCTGAAGTTAGTATTTGTCTTTGTTTTATCTATTGGTTGAAGTAATGCAATCCATTCAAGTTTCAATTTGCAGAAGAAGAAATAGTTTACTTTCGCAACACGAAACTTAAAATCGCAACGTGAAAAATGACTATCGCAACGCGAAATGAAAATCGCAACGAGAGAATCGCAACGAGAAATGAAAATCACAACGAGAGAATCGCAACGCGAAACCAAAATCACAACGCGAAACTATAATCACGTTGCGATTTTGGTTTCGCGTTGCGATTTTCATTTCTCGTTGCGGTTCTCTCGTTGCGATTTTCATTTCGCGTTGCGATAGTCATTTTTCATGTTGTGATTTTAAGTTTCGTGTTGCGAAAGTAAACTATTTCTTCTTCTGCAAATTGAAACTTGAATGGATTGCATTACTTCAACCAATAGACAAAGACAAATACTAACTTGACAGTGTTGCAAGTTTGAAACATATTTGTCTTTGTTATCTGATGCATTTTGAGAACTATGATAGAATAATGACTTGGGTGAATACAATGCAAGTTTGAAACATATTTGTCTTTGTTTTCACTGTTTAAATATCATGTCTATTTATTTATTGATTTTTGTATTTAATTATTTAGCGGCCCGATAAGGTGGATGCTTTACGTCGGGTTTTGCTTGCACGACGGAGTTCACGCATCAGACGGCGTGCACGTGCTATTAAGTCTCCGTACACCCCAATAGTGC